TTTTATATCAAATTTGTCAAAAATTTTTTTTTCTACAGAAAATTTTAGATAAATTTAATTTTTATAAAAAATTTTATAGTCTATGTTCTAGTATACAGTCTAATCTATGGTCTAGTCTGTAGTATATGGTCTGGTATATAATCTATAGTCTAGTCTATAGTCTAGTTTATAGCCCAGTTTTTAGTCTAATCTATAGTCTAGTCTTAAGTCAAGTCTATTGTCAAATCTAAGGTGTAGTCTAAAAAATACTCCATAAATTATTCTGAAGCCTATGGTATAGTCTATAGTCCAGTCTATAGTCTAGTCTATAGTCTAGTCTACGGTCTAGTGTATGGTCTAGCCTATAGTCTAGTTCGTAGTCTAGTCTATAGTCTAGTCTATAGTATAGTCTATAGTCTAGTTCATAGTCTAGTCTATAGTCCAGTCAATAATCTAGTCTATAATCTAGTCTATAGTCTAGTCTATAATCTAGTTTATAGTCTAGTCTATAGTCTAGTCTATAGTCTAGTCTATAGTCGAATCTATAGTCTAGTCTATAGTCTAGTCTATAGTCTAGTTTATAGTCTAGTCTATAGTCTAGTCTATAGTCTAGTCTATAGTCTAGTCTATAGTCTAGTCTATAGTCTAGTCTATAGTCTAGTCTATGGTCTAGTCTATAGTCTAGTCTATAGTCTAGTCTATAGTCTAGTCTAAAGTCTAGTTTATTGTCTACTCTATAGTCTTGCCTGTGGTCTAGTCTACAGTCTAACCTATAGTCTCTAAAGTCTAGTCTATAGTTTAGTCTAAGGCATAGTCCAAAGGATATTCCATAGTCTTGTCTGAATCCTGTAGTCTGTATATAATCTAGTCAATTGTCTAGTCTATAGTATAGTCTATAGTCTAGTATATGGTCTAGTCTGTCGTCTAGTCTATAGTCTTGTATATAGTCTAGCCTATATTCTAGTCTATAATCTAGTTTAAAGTCTAGTCTAAAGTCTTGTCTAATGTCTAATCTAATGTCGGGTCTAAAGTCTTATCTAAAGTCTTGTCTAAAGTCTTGTCGAAAGTCTTGTCTAAAGTCTAGTCTAAAGTTTAGTCTAAAGTCTAGTTTAAAGTCTAGTCTATATTCTAGTCTAAAGTCCAGTCTATTGTCTACTCTATAGTCTTGTCTATGGTCTAGTCTATAGTCTAGTCTTAAGTCTAATCTATAGTCAAATCTAAGAATACTCCATAGTCTATTCTGAAGCCTATAGTCCAGTCTATAGTCTAGTCTACGGTCTAGTGTATGGTCTAGTCTATAGTCTAGTATTTGGTCTAGTCTATAGTCTAGTACATGGTCTAGTCTATAGTTTAGCCAATAGTCTAGTCTAAAGACTAGACTATAGTCTAGTTGAAGGTGTAGTTTAAAGGATATTCCATAGTCTAGTCTGAAGCCTATAAATATGTCTATATTCTAGTCAATTGCCTAGTCTATAGTACAGTGTATAGTCTAGTGTAGAGACTAGTCTATAGTCTAGTCTATGGTCTAGTCTATGGTTTAGTCTATGGTCTAGTCTATGGTCTAGTCTGTGGTCTAGTCTATGGTCTAGTCTATAGTGTAGTCTCTAGTTTAGTCTATAGTCCAGCCTAAAGACTAGTTTAAAGTCTATTCCATAGTCTATTACATTCTAGTTCATAGTCTAATCCTTAGTCTAGTCGATAGTCTAGTATATAGACTAGAATACAGGATAGAATACCAGAATTTTCACTTTAGAAAACTATTCAATAAAATTTTCTCTTCTTAAAAACTTTGTCATTCGAAAAATTACGAAAACTAAGAAAACGAAGTGAAGAGCCGACTTTCTCATCTTGTAGACAACAAGTCCGAATAAACAACACTGACTAATGATCAAAACAATTTGAAAATTTAAAATTTTTTGGCACCAACTCCATTTTTCAATGGAATTAAAAAAAAAACCATTCAAATATATATTTAGCATGGAAACTCTTCCCCATAAATTAAGCATTTCATTTTATTTCGTTTTAAAAACAAATTCAAAATAAAGTGAAAATTAATGTAAAAACATCAACAACTTTTACTAGACGATCGTTATTATTATTATGGTCATAATGGTGGATGAATGAATGGGTAACTAACTACTTACTCTACTAGTCATACTAACTAACTTCTATATATTAAACTCCATATGATTCCACTACTAGTTAGTTGATGTTGTTAGTCAGTCAGTTAGCCACAATTTGAATGGCGACGATGATGATGAGGTTTTGTTGGTTGAGCGTGTTTAAAAATATATATTATTTTTTTACAATTGTTACTCTGCATTTAATATTTTAATTTTTTCACTTTGTTGGACTTGTGCTCTTAGTATTGACTTTGATTTGCTTGCAGTGTTTAGTAAAAGGAGTTTTTTTTCAAACACCTCTTCTTTGAGAGTAACTAAACTAATTTATTGGTTGGAAAAATTCTAGGTTTATGGGCAAAATTGTAATACCTGACAAATACATAGTTTTAATTATAGTCATTTATACAAAACTGTACAATTTCTTTTGTAATATTATTGTGTTTTAAAAATATTATATAGATAAGGAAAATGGAATTAAACCTAATAGAAATTAAAGAGTACTTGTTTATAGTCTAGTCTATAGTCTAGTCTATAGTCTAGTCTATAGTCTAGTCTATAGTCTAGTCTATAGTCTAGTCTATAGTCTAGTCTATAGTCTAGTCTATAGTCTAGTCTATAGTCTACTCTATAGTCTAGTCTATAGCCTAGTTTATAGTTAAGTTTATAATCTAGTCTATAGTCTAGTCCATAGACTAGTCTAATGCCTAGTCTATAGTCTAGTCTAGTCTATAGTATATAGTCTAGTATATAGTCTAGTCTATAGTCTAGTCTATAGTCTAGTCTATAGTCTAGTCTATAGTCTAGTCTATAGTCTAGTCTATAGTCTAGTCTATAGTCTAGTCTATAGTCTAGTCTATAGTCTAGTCTATAGTCTAGACTATAGTCTAGTCTATAGTCTAGTCTAGTCTAGTCTATAGTCTAGTCTAGTCTAGTCTATAGTCTAGTCTATAGTCTAGTCTATAGTCTAGTCTATAGTCTAGTCTATAGTCTAGTCTATAGTCTAGTCTATAGTCTAGTCTATAGTCTAGTTTATAGTCTAGTCTATAGTCTAGTCTATAGTCTAGTCTATAGTCTAGTCTATAGTCTAGACTATAGTCTAGTCTATAGTCTAGTCTATAGTCTAGTCTACAGTCTAGTCTATAGTCTAGTCTATAGTCTAGTCTATAGTCTAGTCTATAGTCTAGTCTATAGTCTAGTAGTCTATAGTCTAGTCTATAGTCTAGTCTATAGTCTAGTCTATAGTCTAGTCTATAGTCTAGTCTATAGTCTAGTCTATAGTCTAGTCTATAGTCTAGTCTATAGTCTAGTCTATAGTCTAGTCTATAGTCTAGTCTATAGTCTAGTCTATAGTCTAGTCTATAGTCTAGTCTATAGTCTAGTCTATAGTCTAGTCTATAGTCTAGTCTATAGTCTAGTCTATAGTCTAGTCTATAGTCTAGTCTATAGTCTAGTCTATAGTCTAGTCTATAGTCTAGTCTATAGTCTAGTCTATAGTCTAGTCTATAGTCTAGTCTATAGTCTAGTCTATAGTCTCTATAGTCTAGTCTATAGTCTAGTCTATAGTCTAGTCTATAGTCTAGTCTATAGTCTAGTCTATAGTCTAGTCTATAGTCTAGTCTAGTCTATAGTCTAGTCTATAGTCTACAGTCTATAGTCTATAGTCTATAGTCTAGTCTAGTCTATAGTCTAGTCTATAGTCTAGTATAGTCTAGTTTATAGTCTAGTCTAGTCTAGTCTAGTCTATAGTCTAGTCTAGTCTATAGTCTAGTCTAGTCTAGTCTAGTCTATAGTCTAGTCTATAGTCTAGTCTAGTCTAGTCTAGTCTAGTCTATAGTCTAGTCTAGTCTAGTCTATAGTCTAGTCTATAGTCTAGTCTATAGTCTAGTCTATAGTCTAGTCTATAGTCTAGTCTATAGTCTAGTCTATAGTCTAGTCTATAGTCTAGTCTATAGTCTAGTCTAGTCTATAGTCTAGTCTATAGTCTACAGTCTATAGTCTATAGTCTATAGTCTAGTCTAGTCTATAGTCTAGTCTATAGTCTAGTCTATAGTCTAGTTTATAGTCTAGTCTAGTCTAGTCTAGTCTATAGTCTAGTCTAGTCTATAGTCTAGTCTAGTCTAGTCTAGTCTATAGTCTAGTCTATAGTCTAGTCTAGTCTAGTCTAGTCTATAGTCTAGTCTAGTCTAGTCTATAGTCTAGTCTAGTCTAGTCTATAGTCTAGTCTAGTCTAGTCTAGTCTAGTCTATAGTCTAGTCTATAGTCTAGTCTAATCTAATCTAATCTAATCTAATCTAATCTAATCTAATCTAATCTACTCTAATCTAATCTAATCTAATCTAGTCAAGTCTAGTCTATAGTCTAGTCTAGTCTATAGTCTAGTCTAGTCTATAGTCTAGTCTAGTCTATAGTCTAGTCTAGTCTATAGTGTAGTCTATAGTCTAGTCTATAGTCTAGTCTATAGTCTAGTCTATAGTCTAGTCTATAGTCTAGTCTATAGTCTAGTCTATAGTCTAGTCTATAGTCTAGTCTAGTCTAGTCTAGTCTAGTCTAGTCTAGTCTATAGTCTAGTGTATAGTCTAGTCTATAGTCTAGTCTATAGTCTATTTTACACTCTAGTGTATCTTCAAACTTCAGGACGAGAAATATTCCAGAAACTCTAAAAAATCACAATCTATTATTAAGTTTTCGGAAATAATTCTAATGAGAGTTATGATAAAATTTCCTAATAAATTTTTTAATCTGATCGATTAAAATATCGGAAAGAATAATTTCACATTTAACTGATCAAAACATTTTCGCTTTCGTTAAACTTATTTCTTCATAAAATATTCAAAATTTGTAATACATCCCACTACTTTTAAGTATAAGATCCCACCCGGTTAGTTCTTTCTTTTTTACCTTTAGTACTGGTCATGGTTGTGGTGGTCGTTGATGATGATTGCATTTGTTGTGGTGTTTGTGTCTGTGGTTCCACGGTATCCATTTGGGCTAAAGGTGTCGAGGATGACTTCGTTTTAAAATCAACCGTATCAGCAGGTGTTGGGGGTGGTGTTTGTGTCGTAGAAATCGTAGTCGTTTCGATTTGTATAGCAGACGGGTTAATGACAGGTATTTCTACTGTCATCATATTTGCATTGGAATTTTCCGAACTAATATTTTTCTCTATATCCATGGTGGCAGTGTAAGACATGTTTTCTGTTTTTGTTTTGGTTTTCTTTTACTGTGTTTGTTTTTTTTTATTTTATATTTGGTAAATATTTATTAATGTAATAATAATGATTTATAAACAAAAAAGAGCACCTTATTTTAATTGTTTTGTAAATATTGAGAAAAAAAAATCACATCAATATTATTTGTTTAAAACATTTATTTTCCACGGCGAAAAACACTACTTAACGTTTTAACGTTTCAATCTCAACTGAAATAAACACATTTGTGCAAAAATATTAGACCCACAATATGAATATTTTTTCCTCAAGCGCGATAAATAAGTACTGAAACATATTTGTTTTGCTACTTTTTTGTTCTCTATATCGCATAAGTATACTGTCTGTAGCCACCACCACCAATTGTATACAGATCTCGTCTTCATACATGCAAACATTTGGTCAAAGTAAACAATAACACATTGTGCGGAGAATATTGACGGTGGAGTGTTTTGAACGTGACTTAAAAGTTGATCACTTAAAGTATAAATAGAAAAAATCGACTTAATTTACTACCTGAAATGTATGGAATACTTTCCACTAAATTGCATTGCAAATGATACTAATAATATGTTCTTTAAAATGTAAATGGCTTCAATTTTTTTTTAATAAAGTGACTCTCTTTACACTCACTTGTCCATCACTATTTCACAATAACGACGTACATGTTTATGCATTTTCCCACATTTAACATCGACTAAAAGATATGCCAGACTTTCGGAATTCTATAAATGATTCATAGTGACAAAATTAGAGTCAAGTCTCTACGTTAGACTATGGTCTGGTATACAGCATAGACTATAATCAAGTCTATAAATTATAAGTTGAGCCTATATGCTAGACTGTAAAAAAGACTACAGTCACGTCTATAGACTATACTATAGGCAAGTCTATAGACCAAACTACAGTCAAATCTATAGGCCAGACTATAGTCAAATATATAGGCTAAACTTGCTTGAATATGCAAGACTACAAGCTAGACCCTAGTCCAGTTTATAGTGAAGTCAATTCGCAAGAGTATATACAAATACATAGTCAAGTATAAATGCTAAACCATAGGGAAGTCTATAGACTAGACTATAGTCCAGTTTATAGTAAGGTTTAAAGCAAGCGTATAGTCAGGTCTAAGACTTTAGGTAAATATATAGTCTAGACTAAAGGCAAGTCTATAGGATAGAATACATTAAAATATATATAGGAAAATCTATATATTTACAAGCCTATAGTCAAGTCTACAGGTCAAGTCTATAGGCAAGACTATAAGCAGGGCTATAGGCTAGATTATAGTAAAGTCTATATGATAGGTTATAGGTAAGTCTACAGACTAGACTACAGTCAAGTCTGCATAGACTATAATCAAGTCCAATTTAAAAGTCTATAATATATACAACTACACAGGCTAGACTATAGTCCACTTTATAGACAAGTCTATAGTCAGGTCCGTAGTTAAGTCCAGACTATTGTCAAGTCTATTTAGTAGACTATAATCAAGTTTATAGTGAAATTTATATTCAAGTATATATGTATGTAAGTCCATAGTCAAGTCTATAGGTAAGACTATAATCATGTCTATAGATTGGACTATAATCATGTCTATAAATTATAGTCAAGTTTACTGATTATAGTAGATACTATAACCATGTCTATAGGTTAGACTATAGTGAAAGTCAAAACTATTAACTAGACTTTGTCAAAAGTCAAGACAATATACTATTGTATTGCGAATATTAAAAGTTAAACTGTAGTTAAGTCTATACAGAGAGTTTAGTCAAGGCTGGAGTTGTGACTAAAGTATGTAATGTTCATACATAATTATAAAAAATATGTGTATCTTAAGCTACATAAAGGAATTTTGGGTAAATTTTAAACTACATTTGGACACAGCTATCAAAAACATCTGGCTACTCAATCAACAACAAGTGTTTGTTACCTACTAAACTCTTATGCTTATAATTTCTCTCGCATGCTATAATTTTATTCCACACTTGCTGTAAACAGCATTAAGAGAGAAAGAGAATAATTCAAAATCTTAAATATTGTCGCTAAATTTCAAACAAAAAACACATTATTAGCAAAGTACAAAATAGTTAATAAACCCATTTAGCCCATTTTTTTGGACTGTCGTATCTCTCATTATGCGTACATTCGTTCACCTGCTATTAACTCAGCATGTCCGACTGCCAGTCTGACTTCTTTTTATGCATTTATAACGATTTTTTTTTGTTTATTTTCAAATTACAACAACTATTTTAGTTAATAACTAATTTTACTTGTACATTTTTTACTTCATGTATGTATATCGACGATATATTAAAACTAACCATAAACGTGACATATTAAATGGACAGTAGCGATAATGAAAATAGCAGTGGTAAAGGGATTTTGGAAACTGAAAGATATAAATAAGATTTGGATATGGGTTTGGGTTCAAACGTAATTCTGCAAATTGATTATTAAGAAGATATATAAACCAATCAATATTTTTGGAAAAAAATCAAAAAAATCGCAAACCCGGAACCAACACGTTTAAAAACAAAAATTTTTATGCTTTTGTTTTATTTCCGACAATGATCATTATTACAACGTGAACAGAATATGATTAAAAAAGAATATCTGATAAATTTATAAATGTAATAACAGAAAAAATCCCAGTAAAAACTTTCATTACCATGTAAGGGGTTAAGATGCTAAAATTTACTTACACAATAGCATTTTAAGTCATTATTTTAACACGGTGATGTCATTGGAGGCAAGTACTTACCACAAACGATTACAAGTAATTAGAAAAAGTGGTCATTGTAAATCGCATGAAAAAACGTATACAGCTTCTATATCTTTACTGGCAAGATGACTAATGAATTAGAAAGTATTTATATAATACATTATTAGTAAGACCTTATTAGACCACTTCTATGTAATCCAGGCGATATGTAGTAGTCATTGAAAAGTATGTTGTTAGGTAAGTAATTACAATTGAAAGCTATTACCCAGTTTTTGCTGGGATACAATGAGTTTTCTTGTTTAGATATCATTAATTGTCACATTAGTTTCATATCAATTACTAAGATGGAAATAAAATAAAATCGAAAAAAATCGTTTATAAAACACCTTAAAGGTGTTAGGAAGTGGGTGTAGGAGCAAGAATGAATGAATGGCTGCAAATAAGCAAAGACTCTCAATTTGATCACAGACTGTGAAATATTTTTATATCGATTACATTTTCAGAACTGGTGTTCGCACATTCTATAAATATAACTTGAGCAAAGTGCTTGTACATGGACCGGCATATCCATGTACACAAATTGCAACCTGCGTGTAAGATACACAGAGGGGCAGTGGTGAGTTCTTTACTTGTTACTCACCCAGTGGTTGAAAAAGTACCACCGTGTGATAGGGCTCCATGCCAGGTACTGACGTAAAGCACTTCGACTTCATTCTATAAATATAGTTTAATTAACAAACCAACTTACTGGTTAGTAACTAACTAACTAACTAACTAACTAACTAACTAACTAACTAACTAACTAACTAACTAACTAACTAACTAACTAACTAACTAACTAACTAACTAACTAACTACTAACTAACTAACTAACTAACTAACTACTAACTAACTAACTAACTAACTAACTAACTAACTAACTAACTAACTAACTAACTAACTAACTAACTAACTAACTAACTAACTAACTAACTAACTAACTAACTAACTAACTAACTAACTAACTAACTAACTAACTAACTAACTAACTAACTAACTAACTAACTAACTAACTAACTAACTAACTAACTAACTAACTAACTAACTAACTAACTAACTAACTAACTAACTAACTAACTAACTAACTAACTAACTAACTAACTAACTAACTAACTAACTACTAACTAACTAACTACTAACTAACTAACTAACTACTAACTAACTAACTAACTAACTAACTAACTAACTAACTAACTAACTAACTAACTAACTAACTAACTAACTAACTACTAACTAACTAACTAACTAACTAACTAACTAACTAACTAACTAACTAACTAACTAACTAACTAACTAACTAACTAACTAACTACTAACTAACTAACTACTAACTAACTAACTAACTAACTAACTAACTAACTAACTAACTAACTAACTAACTAACTAACTACTAACTAACTAACTAACTAACTAACTAACTACCTAACTAACTAACTAACAACTAACTAACTAACTAACTAACTAACTAACTAACTAACTAACTAACTACTACTAACTAACTAACTAACTAACTAACTAACTAACTAACTAACTAACTAACTACTACTACTAACTACTAACTAACTAACTAACTAACTACTAACTAACTAACTACTAACTAACTAACTAACTAACTAACTAACTAACTACTAACTAACTACTAACTAACTAACTAACTAACTAACTAACTAACTAACTAACTAACTAACTACTAACTAACTAACTAACTAACTACTAACTAACTAACTACTAACTACTAACTAACTAACTAACTAACTAACTAACTAACTAACTAACTCACTAACTAACTAACTAACTAACCAACTAACTAAATAACTACTAAACTAACTAACTAACTAACTAACTAACTAACTAACTAACTACTAACTAACTAACTAACTAACTAACTAACTAACTAACTACTAACTAACTACTAACTAACTAACTAACTAACTAACTAACTAACTAACTAACTAACTAACTAACTACTAACTAACTAACTAACTCTAACTAACTAACTAACTAACTAACTAACTACTAACTAACTACTACTAACTAACTAACTAACTAACTAACTAACTAACTAACTAACTAACTAACTAACTAACACTAACTAACTACTAACTAACTACTAACTAACTAACTAACTAACTAACTAACTAACTAACTAACTAACTAACTAACTAACTAACTAACTAACTAACTACTACTAACTAACTAACTAACTAACTAACTAACTAACTAACTAACTAACTAACTAACTAACTAACTAACTAACTAACTAACTAACTACTAACTAACTAACTCACTAACTAACTAACCTAACTAACTACTAACCACTACTAAATAACTAACTAACTTAAAATTCCTCAATAGCAATCTGCACTTTTCAGCTGCTATTTCATTGCTCGCAACTGTTCACACCTGACAATTCACCAACACCTTAATTAATTTCAACTGTTTGGTATTTTTTGCCTTAATA